GAATCACGAGCGTACCGAGATCTTTGCGTGGTTAAGACGGGAGGTGGCACGGTCTTGCTTTTGCCGGGACATTGATTGGTATTTATTTCGTCGTTGCTCCAACATTTCCGTAGTGTGAAGCGTGTTTTTTTTGTTCACTTTCTCTCTGTATCTGTCTCTGTACGTATTAGTTTTGTATTTGACCGTTTGTCAATGTTGCCTGCTCGGACAGGGGTGGCGGGGAGTCAGGCTCACCATCAGGCACGATAACCCGAATGATCAATGTGTTACCCTCTCTCTCTCGATAGCGTGGTCACTAATTCTCGTCATTGTTATAATATACACACAGGCATATAAGTATACACGTCCACACGCAATTATTCACACACACAATTATTCACACACACATACCTTTGACAATACACACTGCGAACCACCATGTTTCACTGTTTTCCGACAGCTGTACCTTTGATTTCTCTTCTGTTCGATTTTTTCTCATCAAGAATCAAGGTGTACACATGCACTTACCTATTGTATGCCCCCGCGGAACGGTGACAAACGAGTACCTCTTAAACGATCGGTGGCACGCGGAGAATCGGTTAACGAAAGTTACACGATGCGAACTTCTGTGACACGTTTAACACTAGGTTTACGGAACGCGTGAAATTGATTTTAGAAATATTATTTTGTAAATGTTTAGTACAAGTACCCCAATTACCTACTATCGAATCTCCAGTTTCCATAATCTAAATAAACGAGTATCGATTCTTTTAGGAATAATAGAATGAAGACAAATGTCCGTAAACCTAGTGTTAAGAGATGCGACGGTCGAGCTTCGTTCGAGTCGCTCAGAGGCCAATATGGTTAAGTCCATTTCCTTGTTTTCTGATTGTTCATGATTTTAGTGGAATATATAATATTCTTTTTAGTTATTCAAGCATTTATCTTCGTTTTCTCTAGAAAGCCCTTTTTATAGCTTCTCATGTACTCATTTCAAAAGCCAAAACATGAATTTTCTTGATGTTTTCTGGACTGAACCGCATTGGCTTCTGGGCGACTCGTTTAACACTAGGTTTACGGAACGCGTCAATTCGACGCAGACTGAATTTTATAAACATTAATTGATAATCGTTTCAATTGGTTCTCGTTGATCTCCTACATCTACAATTTCCAAGATCTAAATGAACGAATATCAACTTCCCCGGGAACAATAGAATAAACTACAATAAATGCCCGTAAACCTAGCGTTAACGAGCGAGGCTCGACTGTCCGGTCTAAATTTTAAATTGTCCCATGTAACTTGCGTCGGATATTCTTCTCGTGTTCTCGGACGCTTTAAGGGATGTTCTCTTGTTATCTCGAAGCGCGGACGTGCCGCATATATACACATGATACATATATACATAGCGGTAGACTGCTCTCCACGATAGCGAATAGATCGATTAACTCTTTCCTCACGACAATCTCGCCCTTGTACATAATTATGGTTCACGGACTCGCACGATCGGCGATTCGTCGAGTTACGTACATACGTTCACGGTGCGAAAAAAACTCACTCGTCCATCCAGCTTTTCTCGTAAGAATTTTCTTTTTAAATTCAACGGTTCAATCACGATTCGGAATCGGCGACGCATCCGTTAACGGAGAAACGCGAGAATCGGCGAAGAGGCGACGTGCTCCGAGCGGTGTGCGCGCGTCTACGTGAAAGACGATTTTCCGGATTCTTTGCGATTCTTTTGTTTTTCTCGTCGAATCGACACTTTCTATTTTTCTTCGAGTTCTCCGTTTCGCGACACTTCGGCAAATCCTCGAACGATACAGGACACAGAGTATACATGTCGCGAAGAAACGAACCCCTCGTCTTACAACGCGAGAGATTTCCGAAGATTTTCGAAAGAGATGGCCGAGAGCTCGAAAACCGAGGAAATTCTGCTTGCCAGTCACGTTGCATCGGTAACGATTGTTAACCCTTTGCACTCGAAAGACTGGAAATATTCAACATTTTCCGATGAGTACATGTCAGTCGCATCAATCAAAATCGGCGTAAACATTTACAAAATAATATTTCTAAAATCCAGTATCAATTTCACGCGTTCCGTAAACCTAGTGTTAAATATTTCACGTAGCAACACAAACTTCAATTTGAAATACTAAATATTCAACTTCATAGTTTCGTTGTGTCAAATCAAGTGACTGAGAGTCACTCGAGTGCAAAAGGTTAGAAGAAAGTCCTTGAATCTCCAAAGAAGTTTAACCCCTCGCCGTACAATAACGAGTGAGACTCGTGATGAAGATTTCTAATTTAATAACAATCGATATCATTCATTACCCACGGATCAAAGCAAACTATTTTGCTATCATTGTATTATCTTCATATAAAATTTCCGCTTGAAGTAGAATGGACAATTTCGTTGCATTTCTTCTAAATTGTAAAATGGTACACGAGCTTAGTGGCGAAAGTAAATACGCCAAGGGGTTAATCCTTTGATCTCTAAATTCTTCGAGAAACGAAATCTTCGAATCCTAACGTCGAATCGTAGGCGAAGGTTAGAGCTAGTTCGCGGATGTTGAGTACGAACGTAAGGCGAGGGGTCGAAGCGACTCGAAGCCCCTTGAAACGGTGACGGCTACGACAACCGGCCGCCATTTTCGGGAGACGCGCGCGTACGATGGTGGTCGATCGCCGGCGACGCGATCGGAGGATGAGGAAACGTACACGTGAAAGAAATATACAAAGATACAGATAAGGATAAGAGTAAACGATTAAAGATAAAGGCAAAGGAAGAGAAAAAGAAAATCGCATAAGCTAGTGTTCTGGACAGGCTTGGCATTTGGTAGCCTAAGTCTGATGCTGAACTTGACTCTCTCTTGCTCGCAGGTCCAATTCGTTCCGGCAGACTAGCGGTGGTAGGGCATTGCAGGGCTTGGAGGGGGGAGGCTATCGTGGGGCCACTCCAAGCAGCTCCCTTATGGGCAGCTCCAGCATCTCTGCCCACCCCCTCCTGCCCCTCGGCGATCCTGGTATGTACACCATGACCGACACCAACCTCCACGAGAGACGAAAATAACAGAGAAAGAAAAGAATCTCCGAAAGAGGAGAAAAACGAAACGAAACGAAACGAAACGAACGCTTTTTTTCATTTTTCTTTACGTCCTCGCTGTGTTATTCGCCTCTCTGTTTCGCAGCGCGCGGGAAGTGCTCGCGGTATCGGAACGACCGGTTGCTTTTTTAAGGGACTGCGTAGCCTGAGGTCGCTGGTGCCGACGCGCGTTAACGATCCAGCAAAGGATTCGATGCAACCATGGTTGCAATCCATGGCAATTTTTGTTCGATGAACAAACGATGTAAAATATTCTTTTATTTTCTACGCATAGAAACTCTGGTTCCGTTGGATTCTCCTTCGAAATCTCAGAATTTTTGTTCACGTATGATGGATCGTCGCGCGTCGGCCCTAACGATTCTCGGTTGGTCTCGCTGAAAAAAGATTTCGTCCCGACAGCGCACCCTCCCCGTCGGTTTCTCTCAGTTGGTTATTATCACTCCGTTTCCTCCTCTCCCCGGTTCATCCCCTTCTTCCACTGTCCCGTCGTTCCCGTTCTTCGTCCTCGCTCTCTCGTTATTCTGTTTAGCGTTTTTTCTGGAACTTTTTCTTTCTCTTCCACGTATCGTACACGAAGCAGCAGTATTATATATCGTAAGCGTAGAGAGTAGCTTAGAGCGTATCATGAACTTAGAAAACGCTTGCCCGAAACGATCGATTAACCGAATTATCTTCTCTCTCTGTCTCTCTCCCTTGCTCCCTCCCTTTCTCCCTGTCTTCCCCCTTCCGTTCCTCTCTCTACCTGTTTCTTCTCTCTTTTAACTCCGAGAACGGAAAGAGAGGGAGAGAGAAGCTGGAAAGCGGAGATCCGAATCACTCCAACACGAATCGGGGGTTCCCCGAGGAAGTAGTTCATAGCAGTCGTAGTTGATCATAATCTTTTATTTGAGTCATGAGAAGTTCCTAGGTTCCTACCATAAATCAGTCACATACGATTCGAAGAAAGCCTCAATTATCCAAATGCCAGCTATGAATTAACTTTCTCGTCCCGGTGTTTTCGGGTGAACCGGATGACTCCGCGTCGGCTGGTAAATTCCTGAAATGCAAGAAGAACGGTGGTGACAAGGGAAGATCGGTAAAGCGAATCCGATGATTTCAGCCCTGGAAACCCCAGCTCTGTCTCTGTCATGCGGCTCGATGACACTGGATTCTCCGACGACTGTGACGAGTGTCTCGATGGGAGGGACGATTCACCGTCGCGACGACACAGCTACATCGTTTCGGACTCTTACGTCCATCGACGTCCATTCGCCGGCCACCCCCAGCCAGGCACCAGCGTCGCGGCAGCAACAGATGCTTGTTACCAGCCATCAGCGGATTTCATCAGCAGGTCGTATCAGCCCCTCTAACAGCAGTCCCCCTGAATTCCCACCGCCGCGACCCCAGCCCCGACATCCCTGGCAGCGATCGGCGAGCTGCCGCGAACTGTACGCGTCCAGTTTCGAGGATTCAGGTAGAGCGCGTACACGCGAGGACGAGAAACCGTCCGTCGGCGACTCGGTCCCGTTGTTAGAGCCGTTCCGGTTGCCGTCGCAGGGCGAGCTGGACAATCCGGTGACGCGGTACGACGAGAGCAATCGGTCGTACAGCGCCGCCAGCTCGAAACTGCCCTCGTTGGACCACGACTCGGTACCGGACCGCGTCTACAGCAGTTCCTATCCGGGTACCTCGTCGCTGTCCACCGAATCCGGCCACGAGGAGTCCGGCCCGGCGGGAGATCTGTCGCACGACGATCTCTCGCACGATTCGTACGAGCTTCTGGAACGCGAGCACGAGTTTGAGTACCCGGAGTCGTACTCGAGCCCGCGCGACGACGAGGACGAGGACGACGAGAACGAGAACGAGAACGAGAACGAGAACGAGAACGCGAACGCGAACGTGAACGCGAATGAGAACGAGAACGAGAACGAGGAGGGGAACGAGAACGACGGGAACGCGGACGAAAACGAGCCCGAGAACGACGGGAACTTGGACGAGATCGAGGCGATCTCCGATCGCAGCGACGAAGGGATCGAGCGCGAGATGTTCCAAATGGACGCCGAAACCGATTCCTTCGTCAAGCATCGATCGGTGCGCGCCTCGGACAAACAGCAATTCAAATCCGTGCTCGCCGACCTGAAGGGCCAAGCGACTCGAACCAAATCCATCGATCGGTACACGACGGTCGCCGCGAAATTCGACCCCGAGTACGTCACCGTCGAGTCCAGGATCCAACGGTCCAGCACGCAGATCGAACGGAAGTTCGAGACGCGTCACGCGAACTCCGTCGATCCGCAGACGGTGGTGCAGCTGCAGCAACAGCAGCACCAACAGCAGCTGCAACAGCAGCTGCAGCAGCAGCAGAAGATCGTGAGCAAGCTGCTGCCTCACCAGGACTCGGCGCGGAAAGATCCGATCGTGTCGCAGATACAGAAGCAAAAGATGTCCGTGCTTAATGAGCTGAAGAGCTTGAGGCCGAAGTACCGTATCACGCACGTCGACTCGGAGGTATTGCGGGACGAGGGTATAATGCGGCCGAAATCGCGGATAGACGACGACGAGGCGAGCCCCGTCGAGTCCTCTAGGTCGGCGGTCGCGGCCGATCGACGGGCGAGAACGGTGCGCGCCCGCAGCATCGCCAGTCTCGAGGATCACGTCGCGTCGTGCGTTCACGTGAACACCGGTAGCTTGGGCAGGGAGTTGAGAAACCGCGAGAAGAAGCTCCGCGAGACCGAGGCCCGGCTCGAGTCGACATTTTCTAGGTTGCAGGAGAAAGAGCGTAAGATGATCGCGGACAGGGAGTATCGTAAACGCGTCGAGAGGGAGTATTCCAGTGGCGACTGGAAGAAGGAGTGGTTGGTCGGCGGAACGGCGTCTTCGGACACCAGGGAACGACGTTCGACGGAGCGACTGGACTCCCGCGAGGGTCGCAGGTCCTCCGAGCATCACGTTCGTCGGAGCATCGATCGGATCGACCTGAGGGAGCTCCGCAGGAGCATCGAGAGGCTGGACGTGCGCGAGAGGAGTTACGAGCGGCTGGACTCGAAGGAGAGGAATTCCCGTCAGAATCCGTGCGAGCTTCGCCGCAAGAGCTACGAGCGGCTGGACTCGCAAGGCCTGCGCGGCAGCACCGAGTACTTGAACAAGAGCCCCAAGGAGAGGAGCGGCGGCGCGGGCCACCGTCACGTGGACCGTCGCGAGAGGAGCACGGAACGATTGGATTCGAGGGAGAAGCGGCGGGGTCTGCCCCCCAGGAGCAACACCGTGGACTACAATCAGAGGCACACGTGGGAGAGGTTCGAGATGGGCCACAAGGGTCCGTTCGACAGATCCTCCGGCAGAGAGCAACAGCGGGGCAGGAGCGTCGAGAGGTTGTACTCGCAGGAGAGACCGAGCTTCGACTTCACGCCGGTCTCGATCGATCGGCTCGAGTCGTTGGAGCGCCGCGATTCCAAGGACAGAAGCGTGGGCGTGCACGAGAGGCGGTCCGAGTCGAGGGGCGGGGACAGGAAGTCCCTCGAGAGGATGGAGTCCCGCGAACGGAGGCAGCACGTCGAGAGGATGGATTCGTGGGACAGCAGGAACAGGCACGCCTCCGGGGCGGACGCGTGGGAGAGGGGGCGGCAGGCGGAGAACGCGCGGACTGGGCGGAGCCTCGAGTGTATCGAGCAGGAGGCGTACGAGTGGAGGCGGGACAGCGTCGAGAAGGTCGAGTACAAGGATACGAGGAAGGGGAAAGCGGGCGCGACGCGGCTCGAGAGAGGCAAGTCCGAGGAGAAGCCCCGGGAGAGAGACGACTGGCGTAGCCTGGAGAAAGCGCGGAAGGACGAGGAGAAACGCGAGAGGGAACGCGAGCGTGAAAGAGAGCGGCAGACGAGGCTGTCGATGGAGTCGAGGACGGACACGGTGATCGGCGTGCCGATGGAGATGGAGAACCTGAAGGCCAAGACCGTGTTCGAGGAGTACGAACCGAAGATCGTCGGGGGCGTGGTCTTGGGCTTCGACGACACGATCCCCGGCCACACCCCCGTCGAGCGAACGAAGAGCGACCCGAACCCCGCTCGACAGAGACTCGGCTCGAACAGCAAGCGTCACATCCTGATGCACCAGAAGTCGATCGACCTGACGCCCGCCGATTCGGGCGACGAGGACCCATTCTCGGACAGCGCGGCCATGCAGAAGGCCAACGTCGAGATACCGTACACGTTGCACAAGCGTCACGTGATGAACGGCACCGCCTCCGACGAGAAGTCCGAGTCGGACAGCGGCAAGACCACGAAGAAGCCGGCCCCGCCGAAGGATCTGCCGAAGCTACCTCTGAAGATGATCACGGACATCACGTGCTTCGACCTGTCGAAGCTGTCGCCGGTGGACAAGTCGGCCGGCGGGAAGGTCTCGTCGCCGGACAAACCGAAGGCGGCCACGCCCACGCGACCGAAGTCCATACTGATCAGCCCGTCGGACAAGCCGAAGAGCATCCTCAGCCCCACCTCCAAGTTGTCGCCCACCGACGCGAAGAGCCTGGTCTGCGGTCTGTCGCCGACGAGCAGGAGCCCGTCGAAGGTGGGCTCGAAGACCGCCTCGCCGGAGCCCAGACAGGCGTCCAGGTCCGCGTCCTTCGACAGAGGCAGGACCGAGATCGCGATGGAGGACCGCGTCTGCGTCAAGTCGTCCAGCCTCGACAAGAGACCGTCGCCGTCCAAGCTGTCCCCGATCGAGCCGAACGTGACCATCGTGTCGGCGATCAAGAAACGCTCGCCGAAGGTGTCGCCCACAGACCCGGACAAGACCATCGTCTCCGTGATACAGAAGAAACGTTCGCCGGACGGGGGTACCGGCCTGGTGACCGGGCAGAGGTCGTTCGACTCGAGGACGACCGGCAGGCCGCTGAACCTCGCGGACGTGGTCGGCCTCGAGATGAAGATGAAGCTGGAGCGTAAAGCCAAGTCCGAGGTCGAGAAGGACAGCCTGAGGACACCGGAGGTCAGTCTGGAGAAGCAGGACAGCATCGAGAAGATACCTCTGCCGGAGATCCCCGCGCCGGCGCTTGACGAGCACGCCGTTCCCTCGCCGGCGGAGGACGCGTCGAAGGCAGCGAAGCCGGCGAAACCACCGAAACCAGCCAAGTCGGCGATCGAACGGCGAGAGAAGGACTCCGTGGTGCCGCCGCCCGTTCCCAGCACGCCGCCGACCGTCTGCGAGAAACCGAAGGTCCCCGAGAAGCCGAAGAGCCTGGAGAAACCGAGCATCCCGGAGAAGACGAAGCGCATCCTGGAGAAGATCGAATCGAAGTTCTCCGAGGCGAACCGGAACTCCGCGACGAGGATCGCCCGGCCGAAGATCATCGACACCGGCTTCGACGACTTCGTGGACCCGGTGGCCGACCTGCCGCTCGACGAGGTCCCGGTGAAGCCGGCGCTCGAGCTGGACAGCCTGAAGGTGCCGGAGTTCGTTCCGTTCGCGTCGAGGCCGCACGGCGAGCCGCTCCGCTCGAAGTCTCTGTCCCTCGCCGAGGAGAAAGCGCCGATCGACACGCTCCTCTCGCCGGAGGTCGAGAACAAGCACTTCGTGACGGACGTCTCGCCGAAGCGCGCGAGGCGGGTCAAGTCCGAGACGAAGAAGGACTTCAAGAAGCAGTCGAAGTCGCTGGAGGGGGACAAGCCGCCGCTGAAGAAGGCCGCGTCGAAAGAGTCGCGCGCCCCGACCGCCGGCGCCTCGAAGATCGACAAGTCGAAGCTGAAGCTGGGCGAGATGCCGCAGGAGATCATCATCATCGACTCGACGGACGTGGTGCCCGAGGTGAGCATCGTGCAGAAGGCCAGGTCGAAGTCGGTCACCAGGCTGTCGGAGAAGGCGCACTCCGCCTCGAAGGAGGAGAAGGACGAGGCTCCCAAAGGTCGAGCCAAGTCCGCGTCGGTCGACGACGACCTGATCAAGGCGGCGGCCGCCGCGAAGATGGAGAAGGCGCGGCCCAAGTCGCTCGGCATCTCCAAGAGCCTCGGCAGCACCGAGAAGAGGGACTCGACGGAGAAGATCTCGCCGAAACGGACGATCGCCGTGAAGGCGGTCTCGAAGATCGCGGACGCTAAGCTACCGCCCCTGCCGAAGGAACCGCCCAAGGAACCGCCCAAAGAGTCACCCAAGGAACCGCCCAAGGAGTCGCCTAAGGACCCGCCCAAGACACGCAAGTCCGACGGGGACGCCGAGCGACAGCCGTCCGAAGCTGTTCGAGCGGGAACCAACGAGCTGGAGGCGAAGTGGGAGGTCGAGCCTCCGGAGGATCAACAGCGGATCGACGCTGGTAAATCATCGGAATCCGGTAAAGCGGGCGAGCCGAAGGATTCGAAGAAGAGCCCCGTGCCTCAAGATCTGCCGCAGTCGTCGGTGGTCCTGCGGAAACCCGGTCAGACACCTGTATTGTTCGCCAGGGCCCGTTTGGGTCTGTCGGAAGGGAGCGGCATCGGCGCGTTGCAGAGGCAAGGCGCGACCCAGTCGCCCACCTCGCAGAGGAGGGCGAAGTCGTTGGACGCCGCGGTGATCGCGGTGCACAGGTTGCCGCCGGCGAACGCGTTCTCCAGCAAGGACGACACGGTGGACGTTTCCGAAGACCGGGAAGAGCAGCAGGAAGGCCAGGAGGCTCGCGCGCCGACCGGCGCCGCGGCGTCCAAGCAGCAGCAGTCGATGCAGATCGAAGCGTCGCCGAACCACAGATCCGACAGCACCGACCACACCACCATCCCCGAGATCTTCACCGACTCGCTCTCCGTCACGGAGACGTCCGCGCAGTACCTGGAGTCGCCGCTCACCGAGTGCAACGAAATCGCCGTGACCGTCGACCCGATCCCCTTCGAGAGAGACGTGGCGGGAATCGCGGACACCGGGATTGAGAGAGAGGGCAGGGAGCCGACCACCGCGCTGGAGACGGTCAAGGTGGACGACGGTACCAAGTTCATCGATCAGAGCTCCGTGGAGTCGGGTGCCGAGCAGGAGATCGCCTCGGACGAGCCGGAGATCGTCGAGTCGCCGAGCGCGAGCAACACCACGGAAGGACCCTTGTCGAGAGTTGGCGCAGAACTCGTGCAGACTCCGTCGGGATTGATCGAGGATAAGATCCAGGAGGTCGTCGAGGAGAGGGTGGAGGCGGAGGTCATACGCGAGGATTCGAAGCCGCCTACGGAATGGGAGGATCTCCCGGACGTGACGGTGACGGTGAGTGCGGCGAGAGACGACGGCGAGGCGACCGACTACGTCGGCAGGCCGCTCGACCTGGACGACGGCCAGGACATGGTCAAGTCCCCTATACAGATCTCCATCGAGGAGTGCTCGGACGACGAGGCGGGCCACAGCGAGGAGCAGGACGACGACTACCGCGACGCTGAGGAGCAGGACACGGACAACCGTCCGCTGGACGACACCAGCGAGGACACGTTGGACGCGTTGGACGCGCTGGACGCGCTGGACACGCAGCTGCGCGGAAGGGGCATGGACAGCGAGCCCAGCTCGCCGGACTACGGTGTCGATCGGATGGACGAGAAGACTCTGGTCGAGGTCGAGCTGACGCCCGAGTATCTCGAAGCCAGGAGAGGCGAGGAGGAGGAGGTGCCCGCGGAGGAGCTGCCGGAGGACGAGCCGACCGAGGAGAGTTACGGGTTGAAACGACAGTCGCCCACGACCGTCGCGACGGTCGACCGGTTGTCGATCGACAAGAAGCTTCGACTCAGCAGCGAACGATCGAGGAGCGAGGAGACGAACACCTGGACGCCGGACCGAGAGGATCCCGAGTCGAGCTCGTGCTCGATCGCCCGCCCCCTGGGAATAGGGCAGATCCAGCCGATCGTGGATCGAAGGGAGTTGGCGGCGATGAGAGAGGCTCGCGGCGGCACCGGCTCGTTCGGTTCGTTCGGTTCGTTGGAGGAGGAGGCCGAAGGCGGGGCCCAGCCGGGCCCTCGGCCCGACGCCGGCTCCGCGTGGAAGTCCTTCCCGCTGGAGAGCTCCGGCAGCTCGAGCATCGAGGACGGCTGGCCCGCGCAGGACGAGAGCAACGCGGTCCAATCGCAGTCCGAGGACAGCAACGGGCAGAACGAGGACAGCTTCCAGGAGGATCTCGCCGATTTTCCTGGCAGCTTCGTGTACCCGATCGGGCCGGACATCTTGACCAGTTGCGGCACGTTCGCGCTGACGCGGACCCTCTCCAGGATATCTGAGAGGTCGACCACGTCGGAGCAGGACAAAAGCGACTTGGAGGACTCGTTCAAGCCGAGCTCGAGGTCCCCGAGCTTGGACGACGAGTCCCTGATGTCCAGCGACCACCAACCGTCCCTTTCCTCGGACCCGCCCTCCGGGACCGCGCTCCCGTCCGTCTCGGACGACCGGCGGACCTCGTCCGAGCTGCCCGACATCCCAATCGACGTCCCCGTCGCCGGGCTCGCCGGCGCGGAGGAGGACGCGAGGTCCCCGAAATCCGCCAGCAGGCCGAAGCTGTTGACGCAGAGCTCCGACGACTGGCCGTCGCCGCCCAGCTCGCCCGTCTTCGAGCCGGCGGTGGTCAGCCACGTGGAGACCTTCTACATGGAGATCAAGCCCGAGGAGGCGGTCAAGGTGACCGTCACCGACAGCACCGACACGCCCGGCCGCGTCGACCACGACAGCGACTCCAGCGACGAGAACCGCACCCTGCACGACGAGGACCTGCATTCCACCCTGTTGGAGGACGGGCAGAGCTCCACCTCGGGTACCACGGTGGACGGCACCGTGAAGATCGCCGTCAAGCCGAAGTCCAACTCGTACATCACCGGCTCCTCCCACAGCGAGGACACCTCGATGGGCTTGTCCATGTCCGAGTGGTCCAGCTCGAACAACACCGTCCGCCAGTACTGCCAGTACTCCGGCGGCACCAAGTCCGACGACAACTCTCTCGCGGAGTTGGGCCAGTCGATCTCCGACTGGTCCGGCAGCACCACCGTCATCCCCCAGCAGTACTACTCCTCGATCGCGGTCGAGAAGAGCCAGAGCGACACCACCACCTCGGACAAGAGCGTGACCAGCATGC